TTGCATCGTTGTTCTCATTTTCATTGAAAAACATTAAAATGATTATGGTGTGATTTTTGCAGGGATCTGTAACAGTTGTTTTTTTGAAGTCTGTAGAATATGATGTGTAGGCCAGGACATCTCTGCAGCATAACATTTCATTTAAAATGATTTTTGACACACATTTTGCCTTTAAGAACTATTGTGCCTCCTGTGATTTGAAAATTGCAGAAGGCTGTATTGTTATTTTGATAAAATTTTGACTAGTTGTTCAGCCCTAGTATATTATTTAATTACTAGATCTATTAGTGATGTAGGCTACTAGTTATACACTAAGTAAAAAATACCTTTTTTTTCTTATTACCTTAGGTTCTGGCTGATGGAATGGCAGTGTAAGATCTGCAAGTCTTTGTCTGCTACAAAGGGGAATCTACTAAAACATTACAGACTACAACACACAACATTTGGTCATGGGCAAACCCAGCCATGTCTATATGACAGTTGTCCTTGTGCATTAAAAACACAGGGTGCCCTTCGCACACATTTGTCCAGGTATCATACAGCTGAAGACAGTCTACAGCCAGGAATCATCTCTGCTTTTAATTGTTTAGTTTGTGGTGCGAGTCGTTCTACAGAGAAGGACTACTTTCAGCTTGTTGGAAATCATATGAAGAGCCATGAAACTGTCTTTTGTGTATTTGAAGGATGCAGCTTTGGGACAAATATATACAATACATTTTGGAAACACAAAAGTAGAAGACACAAATCCTATTATTTTTTATTTTATTTGTTTATCCTGTTGAATATATTCTTGATTCCAAAAAGAACAAGATGTTAGGATGGTATGTTTCGTTATGTTTTGTTTCTGTGCCTTGGTGTGTGGTGGGCGTGTTTCTCTTGCTTTCCCTGCAGGCTGGGCGGAGCCGACCGGAACGAGACAATCAAGCGCTGACAGCTGTGGCTCGTTTTCTCATCAGCAGCCAGCCGTACAAATACGGACGGCTCACAGACCTTCAGCGGCAGATGATTGTGATTCCTCACCGTGGTACAGTCAGGCCGCTTAGCCAGCAACCTCTCGAGCAAACGTTTCAGCTAAGTTTCGCAGTTTTGAGTATTTCGAGTTTTCATGGTTTTTCCCTCTGCACTTCCAGCGTCTCGTCTCGGCTCCAGCTCCAGCCCTTCTCCCCACACGCCTGCCGCCTCCCGTCTCTCGAGCACACTTCACGGGACCACACGGACACGAGCACCTTCACCCACCGGATCACCGGTGGAGCACCAGCACAGGGAAGATTCGTCACGGGATACGGAGTCGCACCAGCACCGCTCCTGGAGCACCGCACCCGGAGCACCGCACCCCCTCCTGCCACCTGGGATCTCCACCACGACACCCCCACCTGCCACCTGGGATCACCACCACGACACCCCATCGGATTCCCCACCAGGACACCCTCACTTCCCCCCTTCCTCGTCAAATAAACCTCTTCCTTAACATCTTATCCCGTCTCCCTTTTTCGTTTGGGTCCACCTGCAGTGATTCTGACACTCGGGTCGTCACACAAGACCTTTCAATATGTGCCTATTCTCGAGACTTTGCAGAAAATCTTGAAGAATAAAGACATTGCAGAGGGAATCTCATCCAGACATTCAAACAGTACTGGATATATTAAGTCAACTTTTGATGGCAAACTTTTCAAGCAAATGCCTTCTATGCTGGAGAAGAGACAAGACTCTCTATAATCCTTTATGTCGATGACTTTGAGGTGTGCAACCCACTAGGAACATCAAGAAAAAAACACAAAATAACAGCCGTTTATTGGATTTTGGCAAATGTACCGTTCCAGTTGCAATCTGCATTAACGTCAGTACACCTAGCTTTACTACTGCAAAGCTGTTGATGTCAAACAGTTTGAATACAAAGCAGTTTTGGAACCCCTCTTGAAAGATCTTGCCACTCTAGAACAGGACAGGATTTTCATTTCCAGTGTTGAAAAAAGTGTTAAAGGAACTGTACACTGTGTTGTAGCCAATAATCTCGGAGCACATTCGATCAGTGAACTAGTTCAAAGTTTCACGGGACCGTACATCTGTATATTTTGTCTTGGACATTCTTCAGAGTACCAGACACATGAAGTGCAGACAAAGTGTTTCCACCTTGGACAAAGAAGGACCATAGTTTGCATGTGCAAACTGTGAGAGAAAATCCAAATTTAACCCATTGCTTTGGCGTTAAGCGGTTATGTCCACTGACTGATGAATTGAATCACTTTCATTGTGTATCTGGGTACCCACCAGATGCACTACATGACCTTTTTGAAGGCATAGTCCCAAGAGAACTAGCATTGTGTATTCAGACTTTCACCAAGAAGAAGTACTTTAATTTGACTGAACTCAACGAGTTAATCACACATTTTCCCTATAAGGGCGCAGACAAAGTCAACAGCCCTCAAGCAGTCTCTTAAAACTACATTCGTCGCAGAACTATAGGTGGAAATGCCCATGAAAATTGGGCCCTAATACGGTTGTTGCCACTCATTGTTGGTTCACGGGTACCTGAGGATGATTCTGCCTGGCAGGTTCTTCTCACTTCTGTCCCACCTATGCCATCTGGGGATCCTTTGCCATGGCTGGTTTCAAAGTAATTCCAGGAACCCCTGGTAAACCCCTTCTTAAGAATTTCAGTGCAAAAGAGGTAAAAGTTACTACGCTGTTTGTATTGCGTGCAGGGCCTGTTGCTAAAAAAAAATGCACAGTTGTCACATCTGGGAATTTTTCTCTGATTTCTTTTAGGATGGGCTCCAGATGCTGCCATATTGCAGGAAGTCCTTTCAGTCTTGATGCCGATATGGTGCAGAAGGAGCTAGGGTCAGATTCTCCCCCCACATAATAAACACCAGTGTGCAAGGTGGCCTGTTGATGTGACGCACCAAAATGGACAGGTTGAACTTCTGCGCTGTATTTGCAACCATAGTTTTCTGAGAAATCAACATGGACTGCACGTTCATGTGCTGGGAGGTTCTGCTTCAGGGCCCGTGAGAAAGCATACTGTTGCCTGATGTTGTAGAGATGGCGCCTAAACTTCTGGAGCAAAGTGGCAAATGCTCCCACCAGCTCTTCTTATGACGATTCATATTGTTTTTTCAAAGTGATCTTTGATGTTGCTCCAGAATCATCTTTGTGCTTTTTGTCAACAGTGGCCCACTGAAGGTAGGAGACACGATTGGTAGCTTCATAATGGCTAGTCAATGGATAGGTCTTATTGTTGCATTTATCACATTCTCCATACATACATTGCTTGCTTGTGGGGTCACACGTGATGGTTTCTGCCAGGCTCTCCAAATTAAATGTATCGATGATGTGCATCTGGTGAAGCTTTTTTGCAATAAAGCCAAGATTTTCATGTTGTTTGCACAAACATGTTTTACGATCTGCCAGCCTTGACTGCACAACCCAGTAGGGACGAAATGTGCAAAACAGTGAGTATGACAGACGGATGTTAGGTCTGCTCAGCCAGGAACTTCAAATGGAGATTTTTCATTGAATCCAGAAGCAGTCTTTTCTGCATTTTCCGACTTCCTTGTGTCACTGTTTGCAAGTAGCGGGGTTGCAAATTCATGCTAATGTTACTTTTTCTCAGGACTAGAAACTAGCTGTTTAGCTAGGTGTTACTACTGACCAAGAGGACAAACTCACTAAATTAAATTTGTAAATAAAAAAAATTCATGCATTTGTTTTATCCTGATAACTTGCGTAACAGGGTTGCGTGAGGTAGAGTGAGACATTCAAGTAACGCTGACAATGTTACAAAAATGTGAAAAATAAAAGAGAGGACATACCTTTAATCTATCCATTCTCACTGTTTCCTTCTTCTTCTACCATGCTAAAAATGTCAGGGCAACAGGGTTGCATGCATGTTGTGGGACACAGATTCCTTGCATAATAATTAATATTTAAAACATTATGCTGATTAAAACAAATGTTTCCACAATTAGAAGAGACATCTATTAACCAGAATAATACAAAAGAAAAGAAATTTGAAATGTATTTTAACTGTTTTATTTGAGTTTCAATTTGGTCATCAGGTGTCTGGGACAAGAGAAAAAAAATGCATTTTAGGGGGCACTCCAGACATATTTGTTATTTAAAGCTATTTGCCGACTTTTTTCGTCAAAAGCAATTAACGACAAAACTAGTTACTTTTTCTGGTGTTATTGGAGACTTTTCTGGTGTTTTGGAGACTCTGACTTGAAAGCACATATCGTTCTGTAGTTACTGTCTTCCACGAGCAGCGGGTGCTGCCGTGAGCCTCTCCCCCGTCCCAAAGCGCTCAATGTCACAAATGTCACAACTGAACTAGTTGTACCTATGAGTGATAATAGGCAATGCAGTGTGTGTGTGTGTGTGTGTGTGTGTGTTGTAGCTATGATGAATCTGAAAAACATGGCTGTGAGTGGCAGGAAACAGATTGCCTCTGCCAAAGTCCACAGAGTAATATTTTATCACTATACCACTGCAACCAACGCTTGTGCTAATCCTGCAGCCTCCTCAGAACACACATACGGGTTTTTATGGTCAGTGGGGACCAAAGTTGGAGTCATCACATGTGGGGACCACCCTTTCTAAATGGTATACAGGAATGAAAAAAATCAAGTATAACCAGTATGGCCTCATTAGCTTATACACAACTTCAAATATCAGAATTGATGAAGTGATGGCTGGACCATGCCTCCTGGGGACTTGGGAAAAAACGGTTTTACATCGTTAATGGGGACTTTATTTGAATAATATGTAAATTTATTTACATAATTCACACAAGGTTCCCACTAATTAAATGTGAGTCATGGGGACATTGCAACAGGTGTATTGTCAAATAGTAAGCATCTGTATTAAACCATCAAATGACGATTACTGACTCTGAATATTGAAACAAAAACCATCTAATTGCATCATTTTGTCTGCTAAATGTATTGTCAACACATAGATATTGCACACTCACATTAATAGTATGAAAACAACTTTTATTGAGTGCAACTGAACAAATTGACTCAGATGAGGTCAAATGATACACAAACAAAAAAAACCTCTTCTTAGACTTTTTTTTACAATATTTAGAACAAAAAATCAAACAAAAGACGACGCCTTTTTGGAGGACAACATTCTAACTCAAACCCATGTTGTGAGGGGAGCTGCCTTACCTGGTAACCAAATATCTACTTACATTGCAGTTTCCTTTTGGACGCTGAAATGCGGTTGTAAACGTAAAATTTGAGGGTCTGCCAGTCCCGGTTCTTAAGGGCTTCAGGTTCAGCCCTTATACACTTTTCACAATCCAGTTTTCCTGGCACAATGAAAGATCTGATGAACTTCATCATGTGCCTTTCCACCGCCTGCACTTCTGTCTTCTGCCAGGGACATTTCTTCCTCTGTATGGCTTTGCCTTGAAGGTTGTGAAAAAAAGGAGTTTTGTGATTTAATTCCTATCTAAAGCTCTGAAGCCTTTCAATAATGGGTCAGGCTCCTTGATCAAAATGAAAATACTTGCCCTTTACATAGACTTACATTGTGCTGGTGTGCCCTTACTTGTACGTAGTTTGCACCCTAGGCAACCTCCTATATTGCCAATGTGAAAAACCGCCTCTGGGCTAGGTCATTGAAAAGCCCAGTCAGTCATGTTTACCAAGGATCATGCATTCATGGAATGAACAACAGAGCCAAAAATGTTCCAGATTTCCCAGCAATGTTCTTTTGTTTGTATTCACCCCATCAGCCCGTCCCCACTGCAGTTTCACAGGTCTCTGCAACTTCTGATTTTTCTATGCTGGCTAATGTGGAAAGTAAAAACCAGCAGGCAACTCTACTGTTCAGAGAACATCAAAGGCTGCACTGTTGCATCCTACTATGACATATTCAGAAGAAACAGTGTTCAAAATTACTTCAAAATGCGCATACTTCATTTAAGGGGTTTTGGGGTTGTTAACTACAAATATTCAACAATACATGGGGGCTCCTTAAAGCCACTTGAAGTTCAAGGGTCAATAAATGCTTAAAAAAAAGAATGAAATCAAAAATGAAGCATTTATCCCTCTGACAGCCATCAGTGATTTAGGGTGACTTAGTCAGTGACAACACGGGTCTTTAAGTCTCTCTGCTGTGCTGTAAATGGAGGAAAGTCATCTTTCCTGATGTTACAATACCAGATAAGTCTATTCTGCTCACTGCACATGTGATCTTGTGATTCATGTGGACAGAACAAGGAAAACAAGGACGGCTTGGGGCAACAACAGTTGCATCTCAAAAGGGAAGCGGAAAATATGTTTCAGTGCAAAATTACATATAGGTGTGCCCGCTATTACAATACTTTGACTACAATACAGTGACAATACATTCTATTAAAAAACAACCTTATTTCTAAGAGTTTACCTTTGGAGGAGGGCCTCTGAGCACTGACTCCTGATGGCATCTCATCATCATCTGATGATGGTGGTTTGCGCCTCTTGTGTGGTTTGGTTCTTTTGTGTGACATGTCATCCCTCTCAGTTTCTTCCAGGTGTGCTCCTATGGAAAAGGATTTTTAGAAATTGTGTTTACACCCAAAGATAACTAAAGCTTTGTAATCAATTTTATTTTCATATCAATGTTTTGGAAAGTGTTAAAAAGTTACACACAGTTATAATATACATTTCTAAATGCATTTCTGTGTTCCGGTCAAATAAAATGATTTTAACAGTCTCACATATAATTATTGTATATAGTTTTATCAAAAGTAATGTGAAGATTTTGTCTCTTCTCATTCAAATTATTTGTAATATTTATATCTTTAGAATACTTATTGATTTAAGTCCAAATTTAAAAACGTGCATTTTAAAATCAACCAACCTTTGGAGGAAGGTTTCTTAGCACTGACTCCTGATGGTATCTCATCATCTGATGAAGGAGGCGAGTGCCCCTCCTGTGGTACCAGTGGCGTTTCATTCCTCTCAGGAGGGGGAAGTGTCTCTTCTGTAGGTGGTTATAATGAAAGTAACCTTTTTCAGAGTCTCATAGCATCTTGGCAGTAAACAAAGATAAGTGTGTATTTAANCTCCATCTGACCCACAGTCACGGAGGGAAGAGAGGTCTCGACAGCCAAGTCACTGTGCTTAAGGGTGGTCATCTGCAACACATTTAGTAAAACAACATTTCAGAATATGATACAAGAAACCAAAAGTCAGTCTCAAGTAAAATTCATAGTAAACATTCTTTTCTACCCACAAACCTTCGTCCTCACACATATTACTGTCAAACAGGCATTGTGGGGACATTTTTTTACATTAAGTGTAACTTTCTCATGGGGACAGGACGAGCAGCTGACTGGTTTTCCATGTTGTAACCAAACACTTTTACACAGGTTCACATTTCAGTGTGAAAGTGTGATGTGGGGACATCGTGAGTGGCCAGAATAGAGTGATAATTAACCAAGTTAATAATCACTATGATCAATTAGGTCTGCTTGAAGTATTGTTCTAACATAAACAGCCTGAATGCAGTATATAAAATTGCCTGCTGTACTCATACACATGACGTTATTGTGAAATTTAGTGTCCATCCCAATGAAGGCTGAGATATACAGAGAAGAAATAGCATAAAAAAGTGATGGATATGAAAGTACCTGTTGAGTGTTGCTTGGACCAGCAGCATCCTCCATCTGATCCACAGTTACGGAGGGAAGAGAGGTCTTGACAGCCAACTCACTGTGCTTACTGGTGGTCATCTGCAACACATTTAGTAAAACAACATTTCAGAATATGATATAAGAAACTAAAAGTCAAAGTCATGAAAACTTTATAGTGAACATTCCTTTCTATCTTGCCAACCTCCGTCCTTACACATTTTCAGTCAAACAGGCATTGTGGGGACATTTTTTTACACAAACTGTAACTTTCTCATGGGGACCGGACTAGCAGCAGACTGGTTTTCCATGTTGTAATGCAAACACATTTACACACTTTTGCATTTCAGTGTGAAAGTGTGATGTGGGGACATCGTGAAGTCCACAATAAGAGTAACAAATGAAAAAGAGTACGATCTCATTGATACATTTATGTGCCTGAAATACATAGCCTGCACTCACACTCTTCATGGGTAATGTTGAACTGTTTTTTCACATTATACTAACACAAAACAGTAGTCTTTACTCACTGAAGCTTCTTAAAAACAATCAGAGAAATACTAAAACATCTAAAAAGAGAAGTGAGAAAAGTTTATACCTCTTGAAGAGTGTTGCATGGACGACCATCACCATCCATCTGATTCAGAGGCAGAGAAGAGGGATGAGAGTCATCTGAAGCCCCGTCTTTGGCTGTGATGCTGGTCATCTGCAAACACATTGAACAATGACACAGTTTCAGAGTAGGATCTATCAAGTGACCAATAATTAATCTGATGCAAGTTCTGTACAACAGCATAGGAAAAGAATAACTGAACAACTGTCTAGGCAGAATCTCTCTCAATTGAAACATTTGACACCACTTTCTGAGAGAA